GTAGCATTTAGACCCCACAGCTTGGTAAGTCACAAAGGATTTTGGTATTCTACGAGCAATTCTACGAGATATTTAAAAAGAGCAATGATATGAAAATTGTGTTTAATAAAATCACTGGCTGGTAAGATAAAACAGGAAATGTGCTCTGTGTTTAGTGATGTGTAGAGATCACATTAGTGAGAGTAAAGCACTGAAGCAAGAGATAGTGAATAGTGTGGTCCATAAAGTGGGTGGAATCAAGAGATACTAAGCAACTAAATGGACAGGAATTGACAATGCCTTGGATCTGGAGTTTGGGAAGAGGGAAGTGTCAAAGATGATTTATAGGTTTTTGGATTGCCATAATGGATAAATGGAAGTAGCCTAAGAGAGGGAACACTGGAAGAGACTGGCAGGGAATAGAATTTTGTTTACAAGCTTTTTTGTAAAACTGTCAAGTAGAGCAGTTGGAAATACTGGTCTGGAGCTCAGAGGAGAGGGCCAGGCTATCTGAATCCTCTGCCAGTTTCTGGTAGTTATGAAAGCAGGGGTAAGGATGAGTCTGTCTGGGTTCAGCATCTGAGTGAGGTCAGGGTTTGGAACTAATCGCTGTGGAGTTCCAGCCTTCCACCGGGATGTCCTGGAGGGTGAGGCTGCAGGTGCCTAGTCACCTTGCAGCTGCACCACTGCAGTAAAGAGGGTGGAGGACTGTACTGAACCCCATAAGCACCTAAGCTGCCGCCTCGTACAACAATTTCAAAAACAACAACTAAAGGCAGAACGGACTTCATCCAGTAAAGAGGGAAGAACTAAAGATCAAGAACAGAATATGAAAAGAGTGAATCTAATTAGTTTCTGGATTTTTTATTTTACTCTGAAGGAGAGTTCAGGGTAGTCACTAAAGAGTGACATAGGGTAATGGGTAGGGAAATCCAGTTGAGAAAGATGTTGAATATATAAAAAAGCGATCTCAAGTTTTCTAAGTTAACAGAATTGACCATACTCCTTCAGGCATCAGTTACCTAATAGATGCAAGGGACACAACAGTAGACAAGCCAGACACAGCCCCTGGCCTTGTGGGGCATATATTCTAATGGCAAGAGCCTAGCAATAAGTGTGTAAATAAATAATTTTATCTGCTATATAAAAAATGATATAGGGACCCAGCCCGAATGGCTCAGTAGTTGACCTATAAACCAGGAGGTCACATGGTTCCCAGTGGGGGACATGCGTAGCCAATCAGTGGTTCTCACCATTAATGTTTCTATCTCTCCCTCTTCCTTCCTCTCTGAAATCAATAAAAATATATTTAAAAAATAAAAATAAATTTATAAAATGATATAGGGAGAAACTAGAGGAGAAAGCTACTGAACTTGTGTTCAGTTCCAGAAGAATTTTTTTGATTGTGGTAAAACATACATAACAAAAAATTTGCCATCTTAACCATTTTTAAGTGTACAATGCAATATGTTAAGTATTTTTACATTGTGAACCAACACTCCAGAACCTTTTCATCTTGCAAAATTGAAACTCTATAGCCATTAAACAATTACCTTTCTCCCCAGTCACTGGCAATCACCATTCTGTTTTCAGGATTGTGACTAGCTTATTTCACTTAGCACAATGTCCTCAAGATACTTCCATGTAGTAGCATGTCAGAATTTCCTCCTTTTTATGGTTGAATAATATTCCATTGTGTGTATATACCACATATTTAAAACAACAAATAATCGTCTTTAGCATAAGTGCGCTAGTGATACTTTAGTATAAATATATACTTTAAAAGTAACTCATTTTTTTATCTGAAATTAAAATTTAACTGAGCATCCTGTATTTCCCCTGGATACTCAAAATTAAAAACACAGATATGGTCAATAAGGGTTGCAATCTTTTTAAACTCTGACTCCTTTATCCAGGGTTAAGTATCTACATAGCAGAGGCCTAAGGAAGGGAGCAGGGAAGACAGTTAAGAGCAAATAAAAAGAAGAAAAAGATGTTAGCAAAAGTAAAGAGGACGGTTAACATGATGGAGATAAAGTGGCACTTTCCCTAGAGGAGAGCTAAAACTGCCATTCATATGTCAGAGTGCAGAGTCAAAAGCAAAGGCCTGGGACAGCCATTCATGGACTCAGTCCCGGCCTGCCTGGGCCTGCTTTTATGTTGTAAAATAGGAAAACACTCATCTCCCAGAGTTGTTGGGATGTTAGGTGAAATAACGGAGATGAAAGCATCTACTACCCGTATTTTCTGGAGTATGACAACCCCCCAATTTTACAGTTAAAACATAGGTTTAGGCCTATATTCGCTGTATAAGACTACCCCCCACTTCAAAGAAAAGACTTCCTTTGCTGTTAAGATCTGCAGGTAATTTTTGTGCAATTTTGGTCTTTTGCCCCCAATTTTCGGTTGACTTTTTTTCATTTCAAAAGTCGTCTTATACACCGGAAAATACGGAAACCCCAAACCGGTTTGACCTATTGCTCCTCTCCCCCATACTTTTTTTTTTTTTTTTTTAATGTTTTTATTGGTTTCAGAGAGGAAAGGAGAGGAGAGAGAGAGAAACATTGATGATGAGAGAGAATCGTTGATCGGCTGCCTCCTGTACACCCCACAATGGGGATGGAGCCCACAACCCAGGCCATGTGCCGTGACCGGGAATCGAACTGTGACTTCCTGGTTCAGAGGCTGATGCTCAACCACTGAGCCATGCCGGCTGGGCTCCCCCATACTTTCTTTCTTTTCTTTTCTTTTCTTTTCTTTTCTTTTCTTTTCTTTTCTTTTCTTTTCTTTTCTTTTCTTTCTTTCTTTCTTTCTTTCTTTCTTTCTCTCTCTCTCTCTCTCTCTCTCTCTCTCTCTCTTTCTTTCTTTCTTTCTTTCTTTTTCAAAAACTAAACCACATACATGTTATTTTCAAAACTTGAATATCAAGAGCAAAACTCTGGCTATTAAATAATAACAACAATGCCAATGCAAAACAACAAAATGAGAAATCAGAGTTATGAACATATTAATATTTTTAGCTACTAAGTGAGTCTCTTTTGTTGTTGGTGTAAATTTACTCAGAGTCCTTGGATTTGCTGCACAAGACTTTGAAGAAGACTGGAAGCTAACAGATGCTCGCATGAGCAGGAACATGATTAAGGAGTAGCTTCCACTTCAGTCTTTAATTTCTTCAGATGACTCCATGTTGGCACCTCAGTCCTTTGCATAGTCTTCAGTTTTCTTCCCCCACTTTGCTGTCGTCTGGGCAACTCTCCATCCTTTTGGGTGAAGGGACACAGGAGCTTCTCTGAGTCCATTGTGATGACGGACATAACACTCTGGTACCTGAACTGGCTGCATTGCTTTTTCTTTCCTTTCATTTTGAACCCAGAGTTCGACCCCACAACACTTTGGGCCTGGCTGCTCTGGGCCTGGCTGCTGCTCTGGCCATAGCTACTGCTGCTCCAGGCCTGGATGCTGCTGCTCCAGTTCTGGATGCTCTAGGCTTGGCTGCTTCGGGCCTGGCTGCTTCTGCTCTGGACCTGGCTGTTTCTGCTTTGGGCCTGGCTGCTTCTGCTCTGGACCTGGCTGTTTCTGCTTTGGGCCTGGCTACTCAGGGCCTGGCTGCTGCTGGTTTGGGCCTGGCTGATGCTGCTCCGGGCCTGGATGCTGCTCTGGGCCTGGCTGCTCTGGGCCTGGATGCTGCTGCTCTGGGCCTGGCTGTTTCTGCTTTGGGCCTGGCTGCTCAGGGCCTGGCTACTGTTGCTCCGGGCCTGGCTGTTCCGGGCCTGGCTGCTCTGGGCCTGGCTGCTCTGGGCCTGGTTGCTCTGGGCCTGGCTACTCCGGGTCTGGCTGCTCTGGGCCTGCCATTCTTCCATTTCTCCAGCTGGTCACATTTTAAGAGCCCCATTGATCCCTCTTTGCTCTTATTATCATGTTAATTGTTGACTATTAACACCCAGTACCTCCTTCTTGTGGTTTTGGATGTTAGATGTCCTTCATATTAGTTTTAATTTTTAAATTGTGAGAGCGGCAGACCAGTTGCTCACCTACGCCGCCATCTTGGTTTCTCCTCCAATCGGTCTCCCCCATACTTTCAATGCTTTTCTGGGTTTTAAAGCAATGTGGTCAGAGTAAGCCACAAGGGCTTTAAAAAGCCTGCTGGTGTCTGAAAACTCCCTTGGCCTTCACCTCTCCTGCAAGACTTGCAAGGGCCTAATTAGAACCTTTTGTCCCAAAAATTCTACCCAGACTGTTGGCAAAATTTAAACCATTTGAGCTCCACTTTGTAGGTTAAGGTTTTGAACCTGGTTAAAAATAAAACTGCATTAAAAAGTATGGCTGGCCCTAGCAGGTTTGGCTCAGTGGATAGAGCATGGCCTTGCGGACTGAAAGGTTGTGGGTTTGATTCTGGTCAAGGACACATGCCCGGGTTGCAGGCTCGATCCCCACCCAGTAGAGAATGTGCAGGCAGCAGCTGATCAATGATTCTCATCATTGATGTTTCTATCTCTCTTTCCCTTTCCCTTCCTCTCTGATATCAATAAAAGTATTTTAAAAATAAAAAAGTGTGGCTGGTTTGGTTCAGCGGATAAAGCACCCACCAGAGGACTGCAGGATCTTAGGTTCCATTCCGGCGAAGAGCAGGTGCCTGGGTTGTAGACTCCATCACCGGCCTGGCCTGGCTGGGGCTCCTGCAGGAGCAACCCAATCAATCAGGGATGCGTAGATGTTTCTCTCTGTGTGTCTCCGGCCCTCCCTTCCATTCTCTCCAAAAACCAATAAAAAAAAATATCCTGGGATGAGGATTAACAACAACAAAAAAGTGTGGCCCTATGTGACCCGTCCTGCGGGTTTGGTCGGGGACAGGTTTGCACAGGCAGCGGTGCGAGCTCCTGAGCGGGACCCTGCGCAGAGAGCCGGGCTCAGTGGTTGGTTAGCGGGGAGCCGCGGGAAGGGAAGCCTCCACCGGCCCGGCCCGCCCCGGCCCGAAGCTCCGCCCCCTCGGAGACCCGGCCCCGCCCCCTCCCCACCCCACCTTCTCTCCGCGCTCCCAGCCCGCCGCCGGGAGAAGGCGGGCAGCATGGGCGAGCGGGCGGCGCCGGGCCCGCTGCTGCTGAGCGCCGCGCTGCTGGCCGCGGGCTGCGCGCTGGGCCTGCGCCTGGGCCGCGGGCGGGCGGCGGCGGAGCGCGCGGCGCTCGCCTGGCTCTGCGCCGACGCCCTGGTGCACGGCGCGCTGGTGAGTGCCCGGCCGCCCCGCGCGGACCCCCCCCCCCTCCCCCCGGGTCTGCCCCGGGCGCCCCGCAAGGACGGACCGGTGGGCGGCGCCCTCCCTGGGCGGGAGGGAGGTCTGGGAGCCGCTGTGTACCCGGCCTTGGCCAGAGGCTGCGCCTCTTGTCTCTGAACACAGCGCAGCTTCCTTAGTGGTTCATTTAAAAAAAAAAAAAAAAAAAATCTAAATAAGAGCCTGAACATAGTGATTTCTGAGCCCTATTTATATTAGTTTGAGCGTAAGCTATTCAACGCCTTGCTTACTTGACTTTGTAACCTACACTAAATGTGGACCTGAAAATAAATGGAGTTTTTCAGTGCCGCCGCGTGCCTTCATAGTCATCCCATTTATTGGGTGACGAATGTGTGCCATGCATAAAACTGTATCTTTACAACACCCCACAGACTAGTTATTCCTGCCCCCATTTTACAGAGGAGAAATCAGGCCCCGCAGAGTTGGGTGGCTTTGCAGTGCCACCGAGCTGGCTTGTGAGTTTGTTCAGCCTGGCTCTGAAGCTGCCACTGTGTTACACCAGGCTTTAGGCAGCTGCCCCTGAAAACAGCTCATTTTACAGATGGCCAGGAGGGTTGTAGTTGAGGGAATTCTATTAAAATACCTCTTCCCCATGCACACACTTTTTCTTCAAGTTACTTTAATTATGCCAAAATATCTTTTTTGCAAATTTGACCTTGCTTAAATCCAGGCAATCCCGTGGCTAATGTGAAATCAATGTCTATAAAGTGATTTTCAACCCATTGCCACAGGAATTTTTAAAGCATGCAGTCTGTCCAGTCAAGGGCACTGACCTCTTGTCCCTTAGGTTATCAAATAAAGAAATGAGAACATCCAACACAATAGCCACCCAGTGTGAATGAATCAAAGTTATACCTACTTTTTGTCAGGTCAGCCAAAAATATGTATATTTTTGGTGTGCCACAGAATTTTAGTAATTTTTATATGTGCCATGAGATGAAATAGATTGAAAATGGTTGGTCTATAGTACTGAGAAAGAAATAGAAAGTAAAATGTTCAATAATCATCCAGGTCTGAATATTAAGTCAGTTGGATATGTGTACGTATCAGGTGTTTCTGGAATGATGAAATTCCTTCTTTCCTAATAGTTAACATGTGGAGCAAAGAATGGAAATATAATCAATCTTAACAATGTATAAGGAAAGTGGACAAAAGTTGAGTGTTGGAAATGGTGAGGAGAGGGGAAAAGCTTTATAGGCGCTATCATGTTTGTTTTATGTAGTAAGAAGCCTGAATACTGTACAACACTGATGGACAAGTAAGCTGAGGTTTTTAGGTTATTACTTTAATTATAAATATGAGTAACCAACAGAACTAAAGAGAATAATATAGCTACCAAATGGGTTCAGAACATGCCACCCCAAAATATGCCGGTTTGGCATATTTCTTATTTTGAGCTGAAGGTCTTTCTGACCTCCCACTTTGCACCTCAAATCAGGTCATAACATTCCCCATGACAAAGTGCCCTCCATGTACGAGGGAGGAACCAGCATTCTTATCATCACAGACTGGGGACCAATGCCAAAATGGAACCATACAAACAAATCTGCCCAAATAACCCTTATCTTTCATTACTTCCCCTCATATATTTCTTAGTTATTTTCCCACAATTTACTGTTCCTAGCCCAAGCCCTTGTCCTCTCACATCCCTGTAATTTTATCGTTCTTATTGTAAAAAGTTATATTAGCTTTTGGGCCTAACAACTTCTTCAGATTTTCATTTTCATTTTCCTTTTGATGCTCCCTTATACGAGTAGAAATATTAAATAAAATGTGTATGCTGTTGTCCTATTATTCTGTCTTATGTGGGATGATTCTCAGGTCAGCTCCAGAATCTAAGAAGATAAAAAGACGTTTTTCCTCCCCTATACTGTCAAAAACTGGAAGGTATGGGGAAGGGAAAGGAAGCAGTATAAATTCAGTCATAATTTTCCAGGATGTGCAGTCAGTAGATAATATCTAAAGAAATAGCTCCTCAGCCCTGGCCAGTGATCCTGAGTGGTTAGTGTCAGCTTGTGCACAGAAGGGCCAGGGGTTCAATTCCCGGGCAAGAGCAGGTACCTGGGTTGCAGCTTGGATCCCCAGCTTGGTGAGGACACATGCAGGAAGCTTCTCTCTCACAGATGGGCACTACACTTACTGAGGTGATCCCCCAGCCCGTAATCCTCAGATGAGGAATAACCAAAAAACAAAATTAAAAATCATTGGAAAAATTCTCCAGTGAGGGTTAACAAAAAAAGGGAGGGAGGGAAGGGAGGGAGGAATAGTGTAAGTTATGGAGATTATTCCCAGAACTACAGACAGAAGTGGTTATAAGTGCTAACCTCTGGGATGTGGTACTAGAAATGAGCAAGGATTAGACAGAGACACATTTTAATGTCATACTAGAGGCCCAGTGCACAAATTCACGCACCCTGAAAGGAACTGTGGGCCGCAAGGCTGCACTGGGCACAGGGGCAGGTCTCGGCTCATCCTCTGTACCCCCACCTGGTCCCTCCCGCCTCAGCCCCTGGTCCCCTGCCTGCCAGCAGCCCTGCTCCCACTGCTGCTCCCATGTGCTGATGCCACTGGCCCCACTCACATCTGCTGACGGCGCCAAGCAACTGGGGCCATCGCCAGCAGCGGATGTAAGTGGGGCTAACACCATCAGCAGGTGTGAGCATAGCTGCTCCCTGATCGCCCCTCAGGAGCAGGGGGAGGTGGAGAAGCCCTCAGGGGTGATCAGAACGGCAGCCGCCACTTGCACCTGCTGACGGTGCCAAGTGATTGGGACCACCCCTGGGTGCCGGTGGGTGTGAGTGGGGCTGGCACTGACAGCAGGTGCAAGAGGTGACTGCCAGCCCCAATCACCCCTCAGGAGCAGGGGGAGGTGGAAAATCCCTGAGGGGCAATTGGGACCGCCAGCCACCACTCGCACCTGCTGACGGTGCCAAGCAATCGAGACCAGCACTGGATGCCGGCAGTGGGTGTGAGCACCAGGCGGGACTGTGTTGCACAGGAGCAAAGAATTTTCAGGAACCACTGCAGTGTTTCCCAAAGTGTGGTACGCGTAACCCCAGGGGTACGGGAAGAGTTTGGTCGGGGCACGCATTGCACTGGAGTTTGGTGGGGATATGCACTGCACCGTGCTTAGCTGCGCCTGATTCTACGTTCTCATGAGTACGAGGGGTACTCAGCGTTATGAAAATTATAGAAGGGGCACACATATGTCAAAAGTTTGGGAAACACTGCACTAGAGAAAGGTGACCAGACGTCCCGCTTTTGGCAGGACAGTCCCGATTTTTAACAATTTGTCCCACGTCCTGCAGAGTTTTAAAGAAGTCCAAAAGATTTAAAAGATTCTTTCAAAAAATCAGGAGTTTTTCAAAACAAAACTGTTAAAAATTGGGACTGTCCCTCCAAAAGCAGGACATCTGGTCACCTTACACTAGAAGCTCGCCCCAATGGCAGTGAGCAGCACCCCGCCTTGTTCTAGTGGTCCGCTCCCCTGCTCCACCATCCCACCTGGCCAATGCCCGCCATGTTCTGTGCTCTTCCGCCTACTGCTGACGCCCGCCATGTTCCACATGCACCCTCTGGTGTTCAGCGCATATCATAGCAACTGGTTGTTTGGTTGTTCTGACATTCAGTCTATTTGCATATTAGGGTTTTATATAGAGAGATAAGTGATTGCTTTGGTAAAAAGAAATGATAAATAAAAGGTAGTAGTGTTAACCAGCAACAGAATTTTTCCCAAGAAGCAACATGACAATCAAATATCCCAGTGAATTTTAGTTCATTGGTTTTTGAAACTTTAGTCTGAAGAAATACATCAGCAATAGGGAAATGCTAAGTGCAATTGAAAATATTGCATTACCTAAAATTTAAAATGTAGCCTGTAAGCATTTAAATTTTTCCTAAGTCTGTCCTTAGGCAGGAAAAATAACTAATTTTAATATGATATAGATATTTGAATGCCACTTTTGTTAAGAGATTTTGGACTTTTTTGTGAAGTGAGACAAAATGAACTGCTGGGAGGTACTTCTGGAAAATGTAAAATTGTTACACTAATCCAGAATTTAGCCTGTTTAATATAACATTTAAGCTCTTTCCTTATGGAAAATTTTCAACTTATTTTCCCCCATAAGAATATGCCTCTTATTGGGTGCGGTCGGGCCCGGAGCAGCAGCTGCCAGGCTGGGAGTGGCCAGGCCCGGAGCAGCCGGGTCAGGTGCGGCCAGGCCCGGAGCAGCGGCTGCCAAGTCCAGAGCAACTAGGTCGGGAGCAGCAGTGACCAGACCCGGAGCAGCTGGTTGTGGAACGAACCAGAGCAACAGAGGCCAGGCCCGGAGCACCCAGGCCCGGAACAGCTCGCTCCTCGCCTGCCCCTGCCCCACGGCTGCCTCTCAGACATGGCTGGAAACTTTTGTGGGAACTTGAGGGTCTGCTGAATCAAGTGATGAAGGCTTAGATATGGATGTGTTGAGTTAGTATAGGGCTGGGGTGTTGATCTGTGAGTGCCTTGGGTGGGGCCTGGATGAGGCTGGTTGACCTATTTGGAAATGTCTTTTGTGTGAAGTGAATCATTGGGCATGTGGAAGTATTATTGATATGAGAAAATGCTAAGTAACTGATTTACTATCTGAAAAGGGATTTACTATCGGGGAAAGGGAGGGAGGAAGAGACTGAACATAAACTGTGCACCTATGAATGAGGACAATGGGGGATGGGGAGGGGGCGGAGGGTGGGGTGGGAACCTGGTGGAGGGGGGAAGAAATGAGGAACCTTTGTAATGATATGAACAATAAAGATTGATTAAAAAAAAAAGAAAAAAAGAAAAAAAAAAGAATATGCCTCTTATTTTATAATGCCAATCATTGAAAAATAGCATTTGTTATATAAACATTAGCTTTGGATTCAACCATTTCCAAGGTCAGGGGCCACGCCCCGGACGGGGGAGTGAGTGTGGTGCTCTGACGGTGCCCCCAGGGCGGGATGGGGAAGGGATGCTCCCAGGCAGAGCCACGAACTGTGGTCCATTCTGGGGTGGAGATGCTAAATTAGAGCATTTTTCCGTTTTCTTCTCTCCAGGAAGGCTCTTTTGTCTACTTGTCTTTCATGGGAAACATTGCTGACTCTGAAGGCTTCCTTGCTTCCTTGTGTAAGTAATTTTAAACGTTTACCTTTGAAAAGTTTGAGGGGATTAATTCCAAGTATGACTGTATTAGTACCTGTATCCCATCTTGTATGGTTCCATTTATAGAAAATGTCCAGAGTAGGTGAATCTGTGGAGACAGATTATAAATTAGTGGCTGCCTAGGGGAGGGGGCGGAACGGATGTTGGAGAGAAATGGAGTGACTGATAAAAGGTACAAGTTTCTTTTGGTGGGTAATGAAATACTCTAAAATTAGATGGTGGTGATTCACTAAAATCCATTTAATTGTACACTTTTTAATTTTTAAATATATTTTATTGATTTCAGAGAGGAAAGAGGGGAGAGAGAGAGAGAGAGAGAGAGAGAGAGAGAGAGAGAGAGAGAGACACATCAATGATGAGAATCATTGATTAGCTGCCTCTTACACGATTGGGATCAAGCTTGCAACCCGGGTATATGCCCTGACCAGGAATCGGACTGTGACCTCCTGATTCATAGGTCCATGCTCAACCACTGAGCCACCATGCTGGGCGAATTGCACACTTTAAGTAGGTAAATTGTATTGCACATAAATTGTATCTTAATAAATATATATTTTAAATGTTTATAGTGTGTGCAAGTTGAAGAATTTACAGTATTTAAACTGGGCTTTTTTTTATACTTTTAATATCAGTTTTCATATATGTCTTATAATTTCCAAAAATCTTCTTGTTCTATAGAGATATTAACTAGTTTTCTTATATTCCTCATGCTCACTATGAATCGGCATTCAATCAGTTAGCATTGACTGCCTCCCATGTACTATGTCAACAGACAAACAAATGAGCTGTGTAACAACAGGGTCCTTGCTGCTGCCATACAGCTGCCTTCCTCAGGATAACTTCTTTCAGATTTTGTGCCTGAAATACCTCATTGTTTATCTCATTTCTTCTATGATTCTGAATCATATTCCACACACACACACACACACACACACACACACACACCAGATCTGTGTTAGGGCTCCTACTTATCACTAGTGTTAGGAAACTCTGCTAGATAATGGAGCCACAGGTAGTGCTTCTTAAAGCAAAACATTGATTTCAGAGAGGAAAGGAGAGGGAGAGGGAGAGGGAGAGGGGGAGAGAGAGAGAGAGAGAGAGAGAGAGAGAGAGAGAGAGAGAGAGCACGAGCGAGAGAGAGAGAGGGAGAGAGAGAGGAAGAGGGAGAGGGAGAGGGAGACATCAGTGATGAGAATCATTGATTGGCTGCCTCTCGCACGATCATCTTCGATGCCTCTCAGGTCCTGGCCAGTAGCAGTAGCTCAGTGAGCTTGACTCCATGCGTGGAGTCCAGCTCCCGCAGGCCCAGTGCTGCCCCTTGGTGAGTGAGCTGGAATAAACCGCTTTAGAATTGCCGGAAGCCAGGGGCGGAGGACTGCAGCCCGTCACTGTCCTCCCAGCCTGGCTGCTCTGGCTGGCATCAGAGAAAGGGAACCAACCGCCAGATTTGGCTCAATCCCATGAAATGTAAAGTCTAACCCAGTCTCTTATCAGGCATCTTCAATTTACATTTTCACCTTTAAAAAGTGAAAACTCATCTCAGGGGGGTGCCCTGTATTCTAGAGCAGTGTTTCCCAAACTTCTCTCATGAGGAGAATCACCTGGTGGAGTTGTTAAAATACAGATTCCCGAATCCCAACTAAGAAGTGCTAAACTAGAATTTTTGGGAACATATAGGTAAAGTTGTATACTTAACTAGTGCTCTAATCCAGTAGATGTTATAAAGTAGTGCATCTTGGGCTTTCAAGAGCACTAATTGCCTGAGACTTAAAAAACAGACTCTGATTCAGAGGGTCTGGGGTAAGGCCTCCCAGTGTCGATCTGCGGACTCTGTAGATTCAGCAGAATGTAGAACTGGGCTGTTAGCATTAGGTAGATGCTGTAAAAAAAAAAAAAAAAAATCTTATTCATGACACTTGTTAAAGATGATAAAAAGACTTTATTCAAGAGGGACCATCAGTCTGTTCCGTTTCCGTGCCCCTGATTCTATTCCATTCAACAATTTATTATGTTCATCAGATTTTTAATTCATTTGATTTTTAGATTCAATTGTTAATAGATATGTATTTATTGTCACTTTGTTGTTCATATTTTTATTCTCAGAGAGAAGGAGGATGGAGGTGAAGGAGGAGATTAGACAAAGATCTTATATGCAAATGCATTACCTATGGACACAGACAATAGGGTGGCGAGGGCCTGGGGTGGGGTGGGAGCTAGCTAGAGGGGAGGCATGGGAGCTGGTGGGGGGAGAGGGACATCTGTAATCATCTCAACAATAGAAATAAATAAATAAACAAACAAACAAACAAATAAATCAGCACTAAACAAACAAACAAACAAGGGACTACCTACCGCAGTCCTCTCCTTGCTGCCTTTGGAGTTGAGCCTGGTCTCTCCTAATGCATTAGGAGAGGTGGAGACCTATGGCCAAGGTGGGGTGAGTTAGGAAGAAACATCAAGCCCAGGAGGATTCATGGCAGCCCCACCGCTAGGATTCTTGCTGAAGGCAGGCGGGTGGGGTGGGAAGGTATAGAGGGGCGGGTAGGGAGTTTGATCGGATGTCCGCATCCCGGGATTAGTGCAGCATTGTTTACAATAGCCAGGACGTGCGAGCAGCCTGAGTGCTCATCACTGATGCGAGGGAAAGAAAATGTGGTGCATATTGGAATGTTTTTCAGCCATTTAGGAAGAAGGAAAACCTGCTGTTTGTGACAACACAGATGGACCTTGAGGGAATTATGTTAAGTGAAGTAAGTCAGACAGAAAAAGTCCTAAGAAGGATAAGGAACAAAGTGTGCTTTGTTTTTAGGGAAAGAATATGGCAAAGCTGATGCAAGATGGCTTCATTTTGACCCAACCATTGTGTCTGTGGAAATCCTGACTGTGGCCCTGGATGGTTTTCTGGCAGTGGTCCTGGTGTACGCCATACTCAAAGAGAAATATTATCGGTAGGTGCTCTGCTCCTATCCTGCTGGAAAGAGGAGAAGCATTAGCAGCCCCAATGCTTGCGTGACGTTTGAAGGAGATTATGATCACATTTCTCTGTTAGACAAAAAAGTAGAGTAGAAACAAAAATTGTTTGTTATTAGATAAGAATCATGGTGCCAGTAAGACCATTTCAAACAGTTCAAAATAAAACATCTGAGAAATATGACTGAGATAACAACCTAGGCTTTGCATAGGCAAGCCTGGGGTTAGCAGTACTGGGTGATTTGCACCGACATTCTGTAGGATAAAAGGGTAATATTTCCTTCTTCTCCCCCTCCCCAAACTCCCCATTCCACTTGCTACAAAATATATTCTCTTGTGTGATTCTGAGTTAGCCATGCCAGATAAGTAAGAAATCCTTCTAGGGCCAAAGCCGGTTTGGCTCAGTGGTAGAGCGTCGGTCTGCGGACTGAAAGGTCCCAGGTTCGATTCCGGTCAAGGGCATGTACATTGGTTGCGGGTACATCCCCAGTGGGGGATGTGCAAGAGGCAGCTGGTCGATGTTTCTCTCTCATCGACCTTTCTAGCTCTCTACCCCTCTCCCTACCTCTCTGTAAAAAAATCAATAAAATATTAATAAATAAAATAAAATAAAAAAAGAAATCCTTCCAGGTTATTGAGGATCTGAGGAAGGCAGAAGCATGGGGAGAGGAAGGAGAAAGGTGGATGACTCACCATCCATCAGACTCGGAGACTTTCAACCACTTCTCCTCCCTTTCCTTCCTCTCCTCCTTACGCGCAAAGTGACCTGGGATAGAGTGCTAACCTGGGGGTGACTCCCTGAAACTGTCAGGTAGGTGCAGTCACAGGTAGTGTTCTACTATCTGGTACTGAATACATTTTATTTATTTAAAGCTTTATCATTGAAGTTCAGATTTGAAAGAGACCTCAAGGGTCATTTAATCCACTCCCCCCCCCCCCCCACCCAACTTTACATATATTCTCAGCCGTAAAAATAAAACGTCTCCTGGTGCCTTGCCACGTCTTTGACTGCAGAGTCTTTTGTTTTTTGTGGTGGTGTTGTTTTTTTAAGTTGGTCAGAGACCTTTATTCTGGTCCCTGCATTCATTAAGCAACCAACACAGACCATTTTCTTTGTCTCTGCCCCCAGCAGCAGCGGTTGCATGCAGGCAGAAATGGAAGACACAGCCATGGGGGGCCTTGTAGAGAGAAAGTAGCAGGTTATTCCGGCTTAGGTAAAGTCAGAACAGGAAAATGTATAGAGCAACTTTCCAAAGACGGTTCTTCAGAGCCGAGGCCTGCAGAGGGCTAGCTGAGGACGCAGAGGAAGGCTCACAAAGTGCCCAGCTCAGCAATCAATCCAAAGTGCCTTCCAGAAAAGCAGATTCATCCACAGCTACTATTGCATTATCCACCCACCTCCTCTGGAGGGTGTTCCTCTTTCCTCGTTGAGCGCAGCGGTAGGCATCCTTTGCAGCAGTTTCCACAAACAGTTCCAGGGCTTGTGCCAGAACGAAGATGGCTTCCTTCCCGCGAGCATCTCATCAGGGGCCGCCGTCACCACGGCCTTCGCTCAGCCAGAGGCTGGCCTGGCCTCCTCGGAGCTGTGGCTGCGCCCGGCCGCCCCGGACCCCTCTTCGCGGGGTGTCCCGCTTCCTGCAGCTGCCGCTGCCACCCGGCCGGTAGCTTGAGTCTTGATTGTAGACTTCCTACATGCACCCATTTATTATTTCAAACATTTACAGTATCTGCATTGTTAAATACTTTGTGCTAGACAGTCTACATGTATCATTTTTTTTTTAATTGTGTTTTGTTTTTTTAATTTTTTTAAATATATTTTATTGATTTTTAACAGAGAAAGGGAGAGAGATAGAGAGCTAGAAACGTCGATGAGAGAGAAACATCGACCAGCTGCCTCTTGCACACCCCCTACCGGGGATGTGCCTGCAACCAAGGTACATGCCCTTGACCGGAATCGAACCCGGGACCTTTCAGTCCACAGACCGACGTTCTACCACTGAGCCAAACCGGCTTTGGCATACATGTATCATTTTTTAATAATACTCATATTTAATATATATATTTATTTATTCCGGAGAGGAAGGGAGAAGGAGAGAGGAATAGAAACATCAATGATGAGAATTATTGATCGGCTGCCTCCTGCAGACTCCACACCGTGGATTAAGCCTGCAGCCCAGGCATGCGCCCTGACCGTGGGAATTGAACCGTGACCTCCTGGTTCATAGGTCGATGCTCGGCCACTAAGCCACACTGGCTGGACCGTATCTTACATATCTCCAAAAGATTATTTGAGAAAGGGACTCTTATCCCTTTTACAGCAGGTGAAATTGAATCACAGCGAGATTCACATCCAGGTCTTGTTCAATCTTCCTAAGAGTAGAAGAGGATACCGGAGAGACCTCTTCCACTCCGAGAACGGTCCTCTGGAGAGGCAGTGCTGCTGCTTCGGGGAGAGCGTGGGTGTTCCCCGGCTGGACAGCTTGCGCTGTAAAGGGGCACCACGTGGAGACGGGGGTCCAGCTGCAGGGAGGTGTCCGGGAGGCTGTGTGGATGCTGTCTGCGCGCAGGTGCCCCGCTGGCAGTTTCACCCCCAGTGTCTTTCTCTCCCACAGGCACTTCATACAGATCACTCTGTGCGTGTGTGAGCTGTATGGCGGGTGGATGACCTTCTCCCCGGAGTGGCTTATGGGAAGCCCCAGCCTCAGCACCAACCACTGGCTCTACTTGTGGGTCTATCTGGTATTTTTCAATGGCCTGTGGGTTCTGGTCCCAGGACTGCTACTGTGGCAGTCGTGGGTAGAACTAAAGAAAGTGTATCACAAAGGAACCAGCTTAGAGAAAAAGTCCCAATGAATTTTCAAAAATCATAAACATTATTTTCTAGCTTTATGAGCCAGCCTGGATTAAATCTTTTTCTTTTGCTAAAATTTAATACATTCCAGCCTACAATTTATTTTATATTGTTCTTCCTGAACAACCTACTTCAAATTGATTGTATTGTAAGATGGCAAGATTTTGTTGGTTTATTTTTCCAGTTAAATGGCAACATAGGGAATACAGAATACATTTTAACTTATAATAATCACATAGCTAATTATGCATTTTTATATCTAAGATTAATTGTGCTGTGTTAATAAAGCCAATAATCACAAAATACTGTAGAGCATGTTATATTAATTTTTTTCCAAAGAACATGTTGTTGCTTCAACTTTTAATCTTATTAGACTGTTTTCAAAATGAAATAAATGCTTCTATTTCACAGTTATATTTTATCAAACTTGTGTAGCTAACAAAAATGACAGCAGTTCGAATTTGTGAGTGGGCCAACTCCTTATGAGTGACATTGGGGTTTCACATAGACAAATGATTGACTTTTCAAGAAGGAAGACTTGAGTTACCTTACAAAAATACATAGTACAGCTCGTCCACTTGCTCCCAACATCCGACCAGTCTTGAGGCTAAACTTGTCTTAAATAAACCAGCTGCAGTGTGGCCGGTCTAAGTATTGTGGGCAGGGGGTGTGGAGAAAGGACAGAAGGAAGCGTGGAGAGGACAGCCAGCTCGCACACCTGCGCTATGAGGGAGGGAGAGGGATGCGGGAGGAGGGGCAGCAGCAGAGCCACCCCCTCCCCCAGGGATCCCCAGTGCAGAGCTACGGAGGAGGAGGAGCCCGTTAGCATTGGGCAGTGGGAATCTGGGGATTCGGTCCGGTCCACGTGGAAGTCCCAGACGCACCATCCCAGGCAAAGAAGACTTTCTTTCTTCCAACATCGGCCTGGGACGTTCCTTACAACTTATGTCTGAGGGAGGGACCGCGTGGCAAAGCTTGGGGCTGGCGGAGGCATCTGACTGGTGCGCCCAGCAGTAAATCTGAGCAGACCTTTGCTCCTGGGAGAACTTCGGGCTGAATGGAAGGGGGCTGGACAGCGTGGCTTGGAAAAGAGGATCCTTGGGAAAGAGGATCCGGATCGTCTTGCACAACTTGAGCAGACGGGTGGAAACCTACCCCCACCTGCAGAACAGCTGGGTCTTCCCCATTCTTCTGCAACCGGCAAAGGGGAAGGCCTCTGGGCTAAAAATTTGCACTCCTACGACCCGCCGACTGGGTCTGAGGACTGGGTCTGACGACTGGGTCTGACAGTGTGAAGGACTATAATTGGCCGGTGGGAGACTGGGTGGAGCTCCCTCCCAGCGAGGATGAGACACGCTGAGAGACTGGAGTGCCATGCCAGGCTGACTGTTTTTATCCCCTCCTACTTGGTGTGGCAGCGAGAAGGTACCAGGGAGCCAGAGGCATTGCAACCGGAATGGGCTATGGCCTGGGAGAGAGATGGCGTGTCCTGGCCCTTCACCTGCATCAGGGGGAACCGGAGCTGAGCTCCCCGGTGAGTTCAGCCAGCACAGTCCGAGGAAGGAGAGAAAGCGCCCCTCCCCCTGCTACAAGCTATGGGCACCATCCGCAGTGCAAGTGTGTTTCAACCCACCCAGCCACGTTTTGGAAACCACTGCAGAGCCCAGTTCTGTGGGGGGAAGGAGAGAAGCTGCGAGCAGGGGCATTTAATGTATGAGACCCAAGAAGACCCAGCCTTTGGGCCGGAAAAGCCCTGCCCACCAGGCTGGATGGGGTCTGCACCGATGAGCTCAGTCAGGTTGCCAAGAGCCAGGCAGAGACAGCAGCTCACATTGGCTTGCTCCAGAGAACCCCTGGGGAGGCCCAGACCGCACACCAAGAGGCCAGACTGAAACAGCATCAGAGTAAAATCCAGCGAGTTCCACAAATAGCAGACCCAAAGGGTAATCACAGTGAGCCTCCAAGTCAGCGGAGACTAACTCCACTTACTTTTACTATTTTATCTTTTTCTTTTGTGTTTCATTTTCTTTTAGTTTTCTTCTTTTTCTTTCATGTCTTTTATTTCTTTTTCCATATATTCTCTTTTTTCATTTTTTTAACATTTAATTTTTTCTCCCTATTTTTCTG